TCGCAACTGCATAAGGTCATATGAGCGCCAGAAGATTAGAGGTGTTACAAGAGAGTAACAAACATAAAAAAGAAGAAGGGGAGATAAGGACGATAGATGTTTGATAGGAAAGAAGAAGCAAACCACACCAGAGCACCCGCCAACCACCCACAAAAGTGGTATGAAGCACCTGAGACACAAATTTCTCAAAGAAAGACTAGAACCACAGAAACACCCAACAAGAAAAAGAAACACAGTATCGCCATTTAACAGGCCAAAATGAATGTTCAACCACTTTTCCCTATGCCGCAAATTCAAATTTGGCACCACCAAAGTTCCATATTACATTCATTCACACCAGCCAACAAGAAAACCATTTTGTCACGCGCCCAAAACAGAAAAGTGTTTTTTTTTTAAATCGCCAGATACACGAATTGGTGCCAAGGAAACCTCCAGCATTAACAGGGACAATAACATAATGTCGCACTTTTCCGCATGTTGAATGATATACTACATAATCTGCATCTCTCTCTCTCTCTCTTTCTCTCTCCCTCTCCTCCCACACACACGAAAGAATGACAAATCCTCTTAGATTCACTAGAGTAATGAAAAAAAAAATACACGAGTAGAGAGCACAGCATTACAGCAACAGTCATCTGGTGCAAAGGAAAAAGAGAACCCACGGACAGAAATAAGAGAGGAATAAAAAATTTTTTAAAACCCCAACAAAACAAGTAGGCCGGGCCAAGGCGAATTTTGAAAGATATTTTAACTTTAAAAAGCACCCCCATCCCTGCCCCCCCACCCCAAAAAAATAAAAAATCCTCAAAAAACAATTACGGCTACCTCAGGAGGACATATCACTGGACGCGAGGTCTTCAGGTCATTGTTTTAGTTTTAGTTTTAGTAAGTTTTATCCGGTACTTGCAACACAATCAGGTCATATGAGCGCCAGGAGACTAGAGGTGTTACAAGAGAGTACCAAAGCACCCGCCAACCACCCCACTTAGCAGCCATGACTCGGGGACAGACAAGTGGGGCGTCCACCACACACAGGCTACACAAAGACAGGCGCTGGTGGCCGTCACAGCTGGATGGGTGGGGAGGAAGGTGGGAGGGGGTGGGTGGGTTGAGACAGTCCAGTCCAGTCCAGTCCACACAGCGATCCGGATCCTTTAGTTTTAGAAGAGGTTTTACGGCGCTCGCAACTGCATAAGGTCATATGAGCGCCAGAAGATCAGAGGTGTTCTCCCACCCGGGAATCGAACTAGGGTCTCCTCCGTGCAACAGCGATCGAAGCGCCTAAAGGTTACCCCACACACGCCGGTATCCTGATCTGTATGCTAGGAAGGACGCTTTCTCCTACATACCCCCGTTGATAGGTCTATGCGGCGTGCGTGTTGCAATACCGTTAGGCATCCGTCGTCACAATCGTGGAAAAACAGAAATTAAAACCCGTAACGACATTGGGTTTGCATTTTATCTTAAACAAATTGTAATGTCCCCTAACCAGTCGAGGTTGACAACAGGGCCTAAAATGATAATGCGCTTCTTCGTTTGGTCCATTAAACAGAACGATTCCCGCGTGTCTCGTACGGTGTCGCGGATGCGGCATGTCCTTCTTGCGCAATAACGTTAAGGTCATTATTTTCATTTCATTTCCCATTAAGGTTAGTTTTCAGTAAGAGTTTAACGTCACTTGCAACACAATAAGGTCCACCTCCCTCGACATCTTCCTCCCTTCTCCCACACTAAACACTAAAAAAAATCAAGAATTTTGCTTAATCATTTCATTTGTTTAGCGTTTCAGTTTGCTAATATGGGGTGCCCATTGGCACGATCGGGTCGGGTCGGGTCGGTTTGCTCGCCAGATTGAGGGCCCAACGCGGCTACCGTGGCACAAACCAATCGCCCGACTCGTCGCCTCAAAAACAAACGCGTTTGTGTTCAGGCGACGAGTCGGGCGATCGACCTGACCTGACCCGACCCGATCCCATCCGCAATGGGCACCTGGTATAAAAGTGTTACAGACATCGCAACTCCATATTAAGGTCATTAGTCATTATGATATGAGCGCGCGGGACACACGGTTGTTTTCACGTTAGTCCATAGCACGGTTTGGTTTTAATTTGCAGCAAGTCGAAATGATTGAAGCATCTTAAAATAATGCTTTGCGTCCCAATTGATGCAATTCAAGACAAAACATAGGCGACAAGCAGCTTCGACTCTGTCCATCAGGGCCAAACCCATTTATTGCAAGGGACACAACATCACAGCAAGAAAACGGAAATTCCCAACACAGGAACACAACAAACGTCAATCACGTGCAAGGCAAACATCAGAAACCTTAGGCCTGGGGCCTTGTGTGGAATTAGAAAGGATAGGCCAAGATGTAATACGGGGTGCCCACTATGGCTGGATCGGGCCGATCGACCGACTCGATCGCCTGCAACTGAAAACAAACAAGTTTGTTTTTGAGGCGATCGAGTCGGGCGATCGGCCCGATCAGCCGATCCCAGCCGTGGTGGTCACCCCGTATAACGAGTCGCCTTGGTGGACATGGAAACAAGTCAAAATAGGCGTACACGCAGCGTTTTAGTTTAGTTTTAGTCGAGGTTTTACGGCGATCGCAACTGCATAAGGTCATATGAGCGCCAGAAGATTAGAGGTGTCACAAGAGTGTAACAAACTAA